GCGGCTAAATAAGGAAAACGCCAAACATTTCCGAGACCAACGGAATTTGAAATTAAAGAAAATATAAACTCAAGTGGATTATCCCATTCGTGATTATCTTTTTCGTGAATTGACAAAAATCGTTAGATTTTCATTTTCAAAAAACAATCTTAAGCGAACAACCTCTTCGTGTGTATTTATTGTACCAATTTCCGTATCAGTTGACTCTTTTATATGAGTTCGTCGCCAAAACTAATAGAAGGACGTGGATTTATCATGGTACTGGATAAAAAAAATAATTACCTTAAAAATGAGTTTATTTTGCATTACTTGTTCGATAGAAAATAAGTTTCGTCTAAGATAATTATTGCATCAGAAATCAAATTGTATTCCTATTGGAATATGGCCTATTAATAATAAAAAACGAACTCTATTCTTGTTGACTCTTATCCAAATCAACTTTAACTAAAAGAGTAATGAGAGAAAAAGAACCGAATCTTCATTTTATCGTAAACAAATCTTCAACGACCTATTGAAGAATGCATGCAAAAAAGGTATTTACTGTCTTGATAAATACCAAGGCAAGCGACATTTTTTTGTTCTTCAAATGGATTAAAGAGTTATGTCTTTCTATTGAAATGTTTCCGTTGAAAGAGATTTGATAAATATTACAAGTCTATCTTCAACTATCGATAAGTAAAAGAGCAGCACAAACTAGTGATCCCTTTGAATATTGTCTATCTGAACAATTGAAAATAATTTCTGTATTTAATTATTTCTTTCGTTTATTTTTACTTATAGTTTTGATATCGACAAAATGAAATTATTTTTCAAGCAATAATAATCGAGTAACAGTATATCTTTCTTCGTATTTTTATTTAAGATGATTTTTTTCATATGTAATTCTTGAAATTAATCTAAGGAAACTAGAGAATAAACACAATGTTTGTTGTAAAGACTTTTATCTGGTGATAGAAAATAAGTTGTGTCTTCAGATATAAACTCAATTTACAATTGAGATTTCTGCTGATGAATCATCTATGAGACAATGCGTGAAAATTTCTTTTTTATCCATTTTGGTTAACAGCAGTATGGACAGTCTTTGAGGACCGCATGTTCAATTCTGGATTATTTTGATAATATAATTATTTTTTCTTCTTCTTCAAGATAAGCGATTTTAGTTGTTGCACTGCGTTTTGAAATACTATTTTGAATAGAAATATATGTTTATTTCAACTACACCACATTTTATGTGTACACACATAGGTATATTATATAAATGCATCAAATAGAAAAACAAAAGAGTTTGAATAATATCCTATTAATAATAAAGATCTATACTGTAATTGAGAGACAGCGAGGACATTCAAGTTCAATTTTATGTTCCCTGAAAAAATAACAAATGTAAAAGATTAAATTTTCTTATGACGAGTGCAAACTTGAATAGATCGAATTTCTAACTATTCATCATTGTAGGTCATGTGTCAAGAACTCAACATATACACAAAATTTACAATTTTCTTGTTAATATTTCGAAAATGTATTAGTATCTGTAGTTTTAATGATATCGAGTCGATAGGGCAGCATCAACGTCTTCTAACAAAACATGTATTTTTCATGAAAGATAATAGTATTTATGAATTTTACTTATTTCAATCAGTCAAGTATTTATGCGAATTGGTCGAGAAAGACGAAGATTAATCAAATAGATAAAAAGTGTTAAATATATAATTGGTCTCTTTGGCTACATCGAAGCGCTTCTGAGTTGTTTTTGTTGTTTGATAAATTAAAACGAAATTTGACAAGAATGAAAATATTTTTAATGAAAGCAGATGATAAATGACTATCGACGATCGGATAGTACAAAACGTCAATCTCATCGTCGTACTTTATTATGTTGCTCAACTATATGCCTACTTTCATTTTTAATTTTATTTCTATTGTTAACTCAAGTATTTCATTATCGTTATGTGCATTTCGATAACAATTTAAATAGATCAATTTCATTAAATATAATGAAATTTCATTCATCATTAATTCAATGTGGTCAATCTGTTGTTGAAAAAGAAAATATGTATCAATTTATTGAACAATTAACTGAAACAATGAAGAATCTTGCTACAAAACAAAAGAATAAAAACCATTTTCACGTAAATGAACAATTAGATATAATTCTTATGCCACCAGACATTATTGTTTGGTTAGAATATATTCTAGCACAATGTTTTCAAGCAAGGCAATTTTCAATGATTGAGCAAAATAAGCCAACCATTATTAGACAAATTATTTCGACTTTACGAAAAGAATTTTTATACATCGCTGGATTTTTTATAAAAGAAACCTAAAAAAATCGACTCGAATATCTCTTTTTATGCTGCGAAGCCGTAAAAATGTCTTAAATAGTTGTGGTTAACCACCGGCTTTCGGCCGATTCACGTGATATGGGTATTCAGACACATTTGTTGTTTTCATTCTTGTAGAATACTATTGCAATGGGAAATCTAATTTGCGGAATAAAATAAGCGCATTCTTGCCATTTTACTTTTTTGAAATTATTATCTGCTTTTCTTAGTGTGATCGGATAGGTGTCCGTGTGTATATACTGATCTGATTTTTTTGTGAATATTTAACAACGAATCATTGAAACATTTTTTGTAAAGAAGTGGCCAAATGAATAAGAGCTGATGAAGCTTTAAGAAAACTCTGTAAAAAAATCGGTTTATTACCGCGCCTGTATTCAGGTAAAGAACTTTCGTGATTTTGTATCGGTTTACTGAAGCTAAAACAGTGAAATAGCTAATAACCATCATTGTCGAGAGTGATAGTTAGAGCCCATCGGATCCAAGAATGTATGGATCCGGCCCCGTACTTGACTGATTGAAATTTTTGGAACCTGGCCGAATCTTCAGCAAAATTTTTGAACCTGAATCTTAATGCTCAATTTTTTCAGGGCCCAGAATTTAAAAGTACTCTTAAAACTCACGAGGAATTTTTCTAATCGGGAAACGAAACCTTCTAGTTTTTATTAAAAACCTTAAGATTTTTTGAATAAAATGAACGAAAATTTAAAAAAAAATTATCATATAGATCAAAATTGTTTGACCCAGATCATACCTGGACCCGACAGGCTCTAATAGTTTCCCACACATTGCCATCTCGTATCCACATCCTAGCAATTCTATAATTCATTATTTGAATAGATTTATATTTTCGGAAAAAAAAGAGTTCCATTATCGAAGCATTAGAAAAGTTTTTTCAAAGGATGTCAAAATACTTAAGTTGAATAGACAATTGTATTCAGATGTTATTAAATATGCCTGCGAATGGAATATTTCAATTTCCTCTGATTTTACATGTCACGTATGAAGTATGCCATAATCATCTTGTGAAGAAATATCACAACCAAACATTTTTTTCAAATAGAAAGTAATCGAGAAGTTATTCAACTATCAGAGTTAACCGTTGTATTGATAAAAGAAAAAAGAATTCTATTAACAAATGATAGTAATCGTGGTTGAATGATTATGTCACCAAGAGTTTTAACCTTTAATGGTGTTATATCCGTTTTTAGACGTGAGTCTTTTCAAATGGATATCTAATATGAAGAATACATAGAATAATAGTTTCCTATACATTCATGAAACATTTTACTCGCCTATAGAAGATTTACAATTTCTCTGGGACATTTAATATTGTTCGAAGATGAAAATAGTTTATCTCTTGATAATTTGTTCTTCATGGATTGTGATGAATTGTCAATTGATTCTTTACGATACTGATGTTATAGTTGATGAGAATATTTTAGAATCTAATTGTTTATATTATCGTATCAATACAGAGAAATTAGCTTATCAAGAATTATCAAATATAATCGATGAAATGATTCCATATTGTTTGCGACCAATGAATATCAGTAAAATTTTATTTCGAAATCTTACCAATACAAATAGTCAAAATTTAACTTTTGAAGAACTACGAGTTTCTAATGTGAGTACACAGGAACTTCTCGCATGGTCAGCTCCCATAGATTTGGTCGAAAAATACCAAGTCTATTTGAATGATATTGATTTATCGTTATCCAATGAACTATTTTATAATTGTACACCACCATGGTTTGGTTTACAATGTCAATATTCATTTGCATTTAGTGAAGATATGGCAATAGCTGATGTTGTCGAAAATGAATTTAACATTAAAACATCATATTTGGAATCGACTGGTATATTAATACAACAATTGCCATGCTATACTCATATAAAATGTGATCGTGGTGGAACATTCTTATGTCTTGATTGGCGTGAAGTATGTAATGGACGTATTGATTGTATTGATGAAGGTCTTGATGAAGCATTTTGTTTTGATATGGAATTAAATGAATGTGAAGAAAATGAATATCGGTGTCACAATGGATTATGTATTCCAGAAGAATTTTGGGAAAATGGTTTCGGCGATGCAGATTGTCTTGATCGATCCGATGAATTTGCTGATGTTTTGTATCCAAATAGTTGTTTTCAAGATCCCGCATTTCGCTGTGAAGAACATTCATGTCGAACAAATTGGCACGATTTTCCATGTGGTGACGGGCAATGTGTACAAAAATTCGATGAATGCCATAATGGACGTCATCTTTTACTTATTCAATCAATTTCTAATCAAGGCTATTTATCAGATAAATGTTTGATTGCTATGATGTGTCTTACTCAGCTTATTAAAGAAATTCGGGGAACTGTATGTGAAACATTATTTAGGAATTATTTCATTTATGAATTTATTAAACATTGTGATCCTATTTTTCAATTTCCAATTATTCCAGTTCATTCGAATCATATTCGTTTTTTGTATGAAAATATTTCCTTAAAATCAGATTCAAATTTATTAATTATTCCTGATTATGTTTGCTACGATGAACAACTTTGTGATTGTTTAAATTCAACATTTTTCTATGAAAATTTAACTTGTATAAATAGTTCAGAACTATATTTAACAACCAGCATAAGTGGGCATATTTGGATTGATATGATTTTATCAATTGAATCGTATTTTCGTTCATGTATCAATCATCGTATATTTTTCAATAAAATGAACAAATATGAAAATCAAACATTATTATTATATCAATGTAATAATTCATCGAAATTAATTTCAAAACATCGTATTTTCGATGAAAATATTGATTGTTGTATGAGTGATGATGAAAATGATAAATTAAGTTGTCAACCTACCAGTAAACATCGAATAAAATGTATCAATGAAAGTAAATGTCTTTCATCATTACACACTCATGATGATTGTCCTTTTACTGAAAATCAACTTGAAAAGAAAATTTCCTTTTCAAAAATATGTGACGGTTCAGATGAATTTCTTTTCAAAGATTTAAATGGTAAAATTCATACAGATGAATCTCAATGTAATTATTGGCCATGCAATAATATGTATTCACAATGTGATGGGTTTTGGACATGCCCAAATGGAAAAGATGAAGAGAATTGTTTTCAAACAGGATGCCAATCAGAAACATATGCATGTATATCGCCATATAATTATTCGTTAATTTGTTTATCGTCACAACGAGTCAATGATGGAATTGACGATTGTCTTGGAGCCATGGATGAACTTCGGAGTTGTCGACGTCTTTATCCTTCGGAAAAAAATCCAAAACGTTTTCGCTGTCAAAACAGTAGTTTATGTTTATCCTCAATGGAACTTTGTAATAATATTCGAACATGTCCATTGGGAGAGGACGAAGATTTTTGTGATAAGAATCGATTTATGTGTCAACAAATTTCAAATTTTAATCGAACTATTATTGAAGATATTCTTTGTCGTTCAATTGATAATGAAAAAAATCGAATAATCCATTTTTCAATTCATACATCATCCAATTATCCTCAATCAGAAACAAATACTATCAATGAAATTATTCAATTGAAACAAGAAAAATCTCATATTCAAAAACATATTCGTTCAGAAAAGATCTCTTATTCTTTATCATGGTATTGTAATCGTGGACTTACTCTGCGTTTACGATCAGAATATGAGAACAATGAACGTATATGTATGTGTCCACCTAGTTATTATGGCGATTTGTGTCAATATCAAAATGAACGTGTCAGTCTAACATTAGGTTTAGTTAGAGCTGAAAGACGAAATGTTTATGTCATTGTTATAATGTTAATCGATGAAGACGAGAACATAAATTCATATAATCAATACGAATATATTGCTAGTCAAAGTTGTGGAGTAAAACTTAATCGTTATTTATTATTTTCAAAACGACCAAAGAATATGTCAAAGAATTATAGTATACGAATTGATGCATATGAAAAACATTCAATAACATATCGTGGAAGTTGGCATTTATCAATACATTTTCTTTTCTTACCTGTTAATCGTATTTCGGCTTTATTATACATGCCCTTTGAGCGAACTCCTATTTTATATAATTGTTTTCCAACCTGCATAAACGGTGAATGTGTTCAATATTTAAACAAAAACTATTTATTCTGCCGATGCTTTTCAGGATGGTCAGGTATTCAATGTGATATTAAATTAAATAATTGTCAAAGATGTTCATCTGATTCCATATGCATTGGATCTATAAATGATCGATCTATATGTGTTTGCCCTACGATGAAATTTGGTCCTCGCTGTTTACTTACATCTGTATGTCCAAAAAATGCTTGTCAAAATAATGGACAATGTATTCCAGCCGATATCAGTGTATCTGATAGTCATTACTCTTGTATTTGTTCAGATCATTATTATGGACCAAAATGTGAATACCGAAAAGGTCAACTAGATATTTATTTAGAAAATTTGAATATTCCATCATTTCTGTCAGCTTTTTTCTTAACAATATCAAATGAATCAGAGCCTCAATTGACAATAATGATACAAAAATTAACTTTATTTCAACGTAGGGTTACGTTTCGTATATCTATTCCATATAATCTAGTTATCGTCGAATTGAATAGAAAATATTATCTTGCAGTTATTCAATCAATTCCAAACCTTGATCTATCAACATCAATTAATCCTTCTCAAGAATGTCTTTCAATTGAAATATTATTCAATTCTACATTAATGGCAATGTCTCGATTTCAACGAATTAAATTTTACCATATTCCATGTCAAACAAATCATGATTTAAATTGTTTCATGGATAAATTTTATCTTTGTTTATGTACAAAAGATCGTCATGCAAATTGTGTTGAATTTAATTATGATAAAAATCTTCAATGTTCATCAAAACACTATTGCGCAAATGGTGCTCAATGTTTACAAGATCATCCTACGTGTCCGTCTGCAATTATTTGTGTTTGTACTGATTGCTTTTTTGGTCATCAATGTCAATTTTATGCGAAAGGCTTAGGTTTAACATTAGATGAAATCTTAGGTTATGAAATAAAACATAATCTTATTTTTACTGAACAACCATTTTCCGTCAAATTAAGTGCTTTTATCACAATGATAATGCTGTTAATAGGTCTTATAAATGGTATTTTATCTATTTTAATTTTTAAAAGAAAAAGCTCTCAAGAAGTTGGCTGTGGAATATATTTGTTTGCATCATCAATAACTTCAATAAGCATTGTGATATTATTTTCATTGAAATTTTGGTTTCTTATGTATTCCTATAGAGATGTTTTTGGTAAACGAATAATTCTATTTTCAAATTGTATGATAATTGAACCGTTACTTAAACTTTTACTGTACATCGATAATTGGTTAAATGGATGTGTTGCTAGTGAACGAGCGTTTTCAGTTTTTAAAGGAATATCGTTTAGTAAAAGCAAGAGTAGAGCAATGGCTAAATGGATTATTAGTAGTGTAGTTATAATTAATATTATTCTTCTATGTCCTCAAATATTTTATTTAAATTTATTTGATGATTTAAAAGAAGAACGTACTTGGTGTGTAGTTTTGTATTCATCATTATTAAATACTTATAGTTCATCTATAGTATTTTTTCATTTCTTTGCTCCATTTCTATTGAATTTATTTTCTGCCATATTTATTATCATTGGGACAGCTCGACAACGGTTTTTAATGAAAACAGAACATCGATTTACGAATCATTTTAAAAGTAAATTAAAACAACATAAACATTTATTAATAAGTCCTATTATTCTTGTTATATTATCATTGCCACGTTTAATTATTTCGTATACATTGAATTGTAAGAAATCATCTGAATATTTTTGGTTATTTCTTTTTGGTTATTTTATTTCATTTATGCCGTCTGTTCTTATGTGCTTTGTTTTTGTTTTACCATCTGTTACATATAAAAAGGAATTTCAACAAGTTCTATTGTGTATTCAACAGCATTTTTCTTTAATTAAAATTTATTTCATTCGTCAATAAACATTTTTAACGTCAGAAATTTCAACTGGACAGCTTATAGTAACACATTTGTTTATTCGAATAAAATTATACTAATTTTCTGTTGTATCATCGTCACTTCATATTTTCTTTGTTTTATCTACGATTCGTTTAATTAAAGAATAAATATAACTTACATATTCTATATCGTTAGTTCTTAAAATTATTTCGGTTTTATAGTTTACACGGAATCATAAAATTCAACAGTCCTTTCTATAAAGTATCATATTCAATAGCTAAATATCGAACGTAAAATTGTTTTTGACAAAGTTATCGTAAATATTTTTATTAAAGTGACTCGATTAATAATTTTCACAATGCGTAGGATACTATTGAACAGCAAGTAGAAGTAATAGGCCGTTTTATGAATGCAATGTTTCTAATATATGTTGTTATGACTCATACTAGAAGATTTTGCTCAGCTATGTACGGGCTTGATTGATGCAAATTTGACACCGAGGAAAAAAGCGAAGAGAAGACACATGAAGAAGCCCGTTATTTGAACGATCAGCATTGATGTGTATCGAAAATCATATAAGATGTCGATCGGTCGACATGCAAGCCCACTGAACAGTTGGTGACATAAAGACGAGCCAACAGGAAGAATAAGCACCTTACGACATCAACAGAACCACTTATAAGGATTCTCTAGTTGGTCGCGAGATACAGAATCGTAAACCATCTGCGACACTAAGATCAATATCTCGGATCCAAAACATAAAAAGACGATTAATATACTCATGGAGCTGTAGCTCCTAATATTGTCGATAGAAGTTGATAATAATAGTGAAGGTGGTACTGACAAACATCGTTCTGTAAAGAGATTAAAGTAACAAATATTTATCAGCCATGTGAAAGTTCAATGAAAATAGTTCATTGATCAACTGAGTAGCTAGTCGGTTAGTCTACTTTTCGTGCCCTATACTTCATACGATCGTTTCAAAAAGATGATTTCTTACTGTTTGTTCTAATGAATTAATCGGAATTACTCACTAGCGTAGGCTCGATCGGTAATTTCATTCTTTGCCAACGAAACATTGAATCTATTCGTTGATAATTCTATCGTCTCTGTTGAAGGGTTGGTCATTAAAGGTAGCCAAACGGCAAGCTGTGTACAGAATACCAATATCAGCATATGTATATATCGTATCTTATTACACCATTTGAACATGCGGTTGATACGTGTTTTTACACTGAAAACAAACATAGAAATGTATTATTTAAAAAATTAAACTCTCGCATTCGTGTGCCGAACTCTTCTAGATTATACTTCGACTTTTCTTTGTGCAAACATCATCTCCATTTTATCAAAACAAATATCAGGATAAAACATAGTTGGCCCTCTCTTTTTTGACGAAATTTCGAAAAGGGAAACTGTAGTCGTGTCTCTATTCCGATGAACAACACTAGACATAAAACGGCATTTTTAATAATTAAAAAGTCTTTGCAAACGATTATTTACTGATAATACACCGAATAATTGTTCATGTTTATTTTGTATGTACTATTTTAATTGGAAAAGTAACTTCGAGATAAGACAAAGAATGGATAATTTTCAGTTTCACAAATATTCATTTTGTATCAAAACTTTGGTTTTGCTCTACGATCTTTTCTTTCATTAATCAAGGTTCGTTCGTTTCACTACAGATTAGTATTTTTCGCACCAACAATATCGCAGCACAAAACAAATTTACAATTCTAAAGTATTTTTCCATTCATTTTACCGGTAGAAGTAATTTTGAACTCAATAAAAGCTCTTGTATCAACTATACGATATTCTATTTGAAATATAAGACTTCTATTGCTTATCGAAACATTTATGTACAGAAAAGAAAAGACAAGTCAATGGTAAATTGTAAATTCACTCATGTTGCAAAAATTTCCGATCTAATTTTATCGTAAAACCAACTAAAGGTGTTGTTTAGCTGTACTGGTTACTGATATGTATCTCAAGCACTTCACTATCTATGGATATCATATACACTAGTTGACCAAACTTTAATGTGGTAGTATGAAAATTTTATTTAGATCGTAGATCGAAAACTAAAAACTTGAGTATCGCTCAGTAACAGTTTCTTGTTTTGAACGGTCAATCGTCATTCAACGGATAATTATCAAAGATTCTGTACCATCAAAGATAGTATTAACTGAATGATGCTATGAAAATCTTTTGGTGAATGAACTTCATATACTAAGACTAGAAAGCAACAGCAGAATTCAATATCAGCTGGTGTCATTACGTGATAATGCTTTAGCATGCATATCGCATCCCGCTTCTTCTAAAGTTCAGGATGCTAAGATATGAATCACTTTCATGTCCTCCTTATTTACACAATAGGCGTTCAGTAATACTTGTTTCCCTTGCACATACTAATTGATGTGATGCACGCCAACACAACCGTGAGTGAAAGTGATGGCTGTCTCTACGGGGAACATTTATCCTTTCTGCAATTGTCGAAGGTCTATGACGAAAACCATGTTGTCTTGATTTTTACTTGCTTCAAATTTTAGAAGATTACTTTAGAAGAAACTATTATAGTGATCGAAGTTTGTTCGGGATGCAATGTCTTAAAAATGACTTCACAACAAATATTTAAAAACGTTTCCATATTGCTGGCTAAAGTCTACAGCTGCAAGATAAAAAGATATTTCGAAAAGAAATTTATCAGTATGGCTGAAATCCATGCTTTTATGTTAAATACAGGAATTGTAGGTGTTCATTGAATGAATGCGTCAACATGTCATAATTCTATAGGAGTAGCTATGCTAACATTAGTGAGTTATCAATGATGCAGAGATGAATTGTGCTACGGTAGTCGAACTCTACATGTTACAGAAACTTTAACAGTAAACAAAGAGACAAGAAAAATAGTACATATCAAAAGTTTTTCGTCCGTACTCTTACAGTAGTCCTCAATAGCGATTGACAAGCGAAACATACCCGAAGTGTTTAGGAAACTTGCTTGTGGTAATGCACGGTTTTGATGGATCTTGTTGTTGTCAAACAGGAAATAATAAGATTGTTGTCATGTTTTATTCCACTAAAAAGATTGATAGTTATTGAGTATACTCTGTCTTTATAAATTTATTGAAGAGAGCAGGATTCTTTCAAAACAAATGCTAGGAAAACAATTAGAAAAATTCTGGCGAATTCAAATACCCTTTCATTACTTCAATCTGTTATATAGAAAATTTTAATACATAGTCTAGGCTTGAAACATGTGCACCAAGAATGAATAACTAAGTTGAATATAGATTCTCAAATAGTCAAGCAGCAAACAATGATAGATAAGTAAGTAACAATTACAATTTTTCGTTCGCGCTTCTACCTTATGTATTTAATGGCAAGAAAGTACATTCGAAAACGTTTTGGTCACCTATTTACACTATTTCTTCCAATTATCTAAGTAAGTCGAAGCTCTTTCGGAGACTATTGAATAAACAGCTCTTTCTATTCAAATATGTTTTTCTTCTTCGATGAGCGAAATATTTAACATCACATAATATAAGACGAGGCTTCAGCAAAACAACAGATTCAAACTTGATAGATCAAAGATAAATGTTGGTTGGATAATAATGGCAAATATACAAAGTGTTGAAAATTTTCACAAATCGATTATTATATATATTGAATACTTTTCTTTCACTGACAACTATTGTTTTAGTAATACAGGGTATTTCAGTTTGATACTGTTCTCCAATTATTTAATGCTCCATCAATTTGGAAATGACTAAATAAAAAATAAAAAACAGTTATGGTGACAACAAGAAGATAAACAAGGAAAAAAAATATCCTCTTACTCAATTATCATGCACTCAAATTTGGCATTTGCTTATATCTTAATAAATCCAATATTTGGAAATGATAAAATATTCGTTGCAACCCAGGTCGAGCAGTCCGGATGGAAACGCCAGGTTCCGATGTCTTCCCGCGATTTCACGGGAGCAGTATTCCGGAACGGATTTTTCCACTCATATCCCAACGGAAGCACCGGGAAAAATTCAGGAAAAAATCCGGGCGGTTCCTTTTGTGATCCACATACACGTCGTAGTAACGGAAACAGTTGGAAACGAGTGGATCTTCGACGGAATTTTTACGCCGCTTTCCGTACGAGTATCACCGACGTTTCCAACATATTGCCCGAGAATTCCAAAACCGGAGAGACATCTATGTCAACCGTATCGGTATCCAAACCACTTCCTCAATCATATTCCAAACCCATCTCCCACCTCAAACAGTTCGGACACATACCGATACCAGCAAATAGTTGCGCTACACTCTAATGTTATTGACCTTTGACCAAATCACACCAGTCACTCACTACGTCATATCCCTACGAGCATATCCAGCTGGTCAGAAACTGCCGCAAACAGAAATTCAAAATTTGAAAAGTTAGATTTGTTATTTCAACTCCCAGCTAAATTCTGATGACACTTTGTAATAGGTTATTGAGGTCCAGCAACCCGAATATGTAGTTAGTTTTTCGAGATGGGCTTCCATTGGTCAGAAAATAGGTCCATCACAGAGTCAAAAGCTGTAAAGATAGATTTTTTATTTCAACTCCCAGATAAATTCTGAGGTAAGTTTGTAATAGGTTATCGAGGTCGATGAATGCGAATCCTGCATCATCGATTGCGCCCTGGCATCCGACAGTTGAATGATGGTTGTTATCAATCGGTTTTCTGCTGTAAGATTGCATTGGATTTCGATCCTGGGGTGCCAACTCTGCTTCCAATCAGATCTTATTGTGGGATTGATCGATCCGGGGTAGTGAATATAGTGTTAACGACCGTTTACGGTCACGGTAATCTTCCTCCTGACTGTGATGCCGCGTAGGTATGTTGTAGTTCTTCACGGTGTCAGACCGGTTACAGAAAGTTTCGTTAAATAGTCCGTCGCGGATATGGTAGTTTCCTGAAGGAGTTCATTGCGTATGTGGTAGTTTCCGGGTGGATCCAGTCAAGTGGTTTTTTGTTGGAAAGTTATGGATCCGGTGCGGTGATTTCCCGTCCGGAATCCTGCTTCCATTTGCCGGGAGCTTTCCAGGCGGTTCCGGAGGGAAACAGTCTGTATTTTAGTGGAATTAGCCGGGAAAAAGACCGTTTCCTTTTGTTTCCTGCAGGATCCGGACCCCGAAATCATCGACCTGGGGAATAGAATATTTTCAAAGTAACACAAATTTTATTCATTTCACTAATAAATAAATAAATGTTACTACTAAATTATTTTATTTTACTACTAAATATTTTTCAATTTACTACTAAAATCTGTAAAAATAACACAAAATTTTATTTTTTCATTTAAATCATAAATATTTTCAAAAACAATTAATTTTTTTCACTTCAATAATTAATGTTTTTGGCGAAAAATAATTTTTATTTAATTCATTTCTTTTCTTTTCATTTAACAGAGAAATAAATAAAAGAAGAAGAAGAAAAGAAACATATGACGTAATTTTTATACTTTTTTCTTTTCTTTGAAGCGAAAGAGTAAAAGAAAATTTCTTTTTTTTTTGTTCATTTATTTCAAAGTTTAGAAAAAGAAACGAGCAAAGAAAAAACAATTCACAAGTCTTATTCGATAGAAAATCGTTGAACACGATTATTCCAATAATCGACGACATAGAGATTACCATGTCGATCGAAAGACAAACCACGGAGGTAGCTGAACTGATTTGCTCCTTCTCCTCGACCATTTCCACCAACAATTACAGTGCCCTGTTTCTTGTCTCCTTGAGTCCAACGCGTTACACGATGATTCCCCGAGTCTGCTACATAGAGTGTACCCAACGTATCAACAAAGATTCCACGAGGAGAAGACAATTGTGTCAGAGCATTCCCTTCACCTTGTCCTCCAGCGACCACAATACCTTCTTTTGAACCTTTATTCCATTTCATTACACGATGATTGTTCCAGTCTGATACGTATACATTCTGTTCTCGATCGACAACGAGATGTGCTGGCGAGTTGAGTTGATTGGGTTCATTACCTTGTCCATTACCACCAGCTACGAGAGTGCCATTCTTCTCACCCAATTGATGTCGGCTTACTTCGTGTTTTTCGTCGTCAGAGACGTAGAGATATCTCTGTTCATCCATTGATAATCCCACACAAGCGATGTTGTCGATGAGTATTTCACCTTGTGTTGTACCACTACGACGAGACCATCGTACAACTCGTCGATTCCATCGATCACAAATAATGAGGCTATTCGTCTCTTTGTCAATTAATACATCAGTTGGATAATTCAATTGATGTAATCCATCTCCTCCGCCTTTACCACCAGCAACAACTTGTCCATTCGTTGTATCACCGTTCTTCCATTGCATGATACGATGATTCCAGAAGTCAGCAATAGCCACTGTTTGATCATCATCAACACCGAGACCTTGAGGGTAGTTGAATTTATTAGTGGCATCCCCATCCCCGTGGCCTCCAGCAATAGTCACTCCGTTCTGTGCCCATGTAGCATTAGCAGGAATATTAACTAGAAGAGAAAACGTATAAGAATCAGAAGAGATCTCTTTCTCGACTATAACTAGTATGATTCTCCCACACTTTGGTCGAAATATATAAATGTCGAAAGATTCCATAGTTGAAGAGTATAAATCTAATGGAATTTATGATATCCATCTATTTTTCATAACGATGCCATTGGAACGTCACTTTTAGACTGGGTGGTGATATTCAGTTATATTCTATTATTGGTAGACTATATTAATTCCGTCCGTTACGGTAAATTAGATAGGACTATTCAATAAGAAAACTAGTATAAATTTAGTCAGCAGTATACTATACTGTGCATACATCTACAAAGATGGCGCCAGTTAACACATCATCAAGCCGCAACATCGAAAATATCCACTTCATCACCTCAAAGAAAGGTCAACCGTTATCATAACTGGTGGGCCATAAAGAATGATGGGTTTCGTATTCCTCGATTAACTCCGCGAGTTTTCATTCGTTCGAGCTGATCTTTTTTTTGAAAGAATCGTCGTTCGATTCTCTACAAATACGGATATTTTTATTATCTGATATAATTTCCTTTGTCTTGAGACAATCGATGCAATCGATTTGCCCAAGAAGCACAACTTTTCTCAACTACATCTTGAGAAATTTCACGAACAGCACGTTTTAGGGCAATAATCAATGTTGTTTTAGATGTAACCGTATCCCACTTGACTAGTTGAGCGAATTCGTTCCAGATGCAGTAATCCAATGGGTTCAAGTCTGGACTATTTGGAGGTCAATGGTCCTTGTCAATGAACGACGGAAAGTGTTTAGCACACCATTCTTGCGATTTTGCATGGGTGTGTGGCCTTGCACCATCTTGTTGGAAGGTCCAATCGTTCACGAACATGTCATTGCCGAGCTTGAGAGCGATCGGAAGCACTTCTTTGATGTATCGATCATGATCGACTGTCCCATTCTCGAAAATCACTAAAGGTGATACACCTTTAGAACAAACTCCGAGCCAAACCATAATCTTTTGCGGAAATTTACGTTTTTGTCGAGTACCATCTTTGATATCGGCTTCTGAACGATCAACCGCCCAGATACGATCATTTTGAGAGTTATAAACTCCATCAATGTCGAACATCTTCTCGTCAGAAAACAGAATTCTCGTCGTGTCTTCTTTTCGGAAGTTGTTTCGTATCCAATTAGCAAATTGGATTCTTCTTTCTTTATGCTCATCAGTGAGCATTGGTTCATTTTGCACTTTGTAGGCATGGGGTCCTAGATCATCCTTGAGTATTCTCCCTATATTCGTTTGAGAAATACTCACTTCACGGGCTAATTTCCGAGATGAGACAGACTTTCGCTTATTCAGCCGACGCTTGACCTTTTGAATGGCTGCCTTCGTTCGGATTGTTTTTGGACGACCGGTTGATTTGGACAGAGCGATACAGCCAGTCTGTCGAATGCTCCTGCACCATCGTTCAATGGTCGGAAGACTAACGGAACCACTGAGATCTTCAAAAATCTTGTGCGGTTCATCGCCATTTTGGTACTTAGAAAATACGAGCGTTTGTAAATCTTTACTTTTCATTTTCTCAAATGAAACGAATTCGATCGAACGCAATAGAAAATACCCATCTTCGTAGAGAATCGAACGGCGATCCGTTCAAAAAAAAACTCAGCTCGAACGAATGAAAACTCGTAGAGATATTCGAGAAATACGAAACCCATCATTCTTTATGGCCCACCCGTTAGTAGTGAATGATTACATACGTATATAAGTTTAATAAAAAATAAACGTAGTGTAGCATTACAAAAACGAATCGACACACCCGCATAAACGGTATAGTGGTGACTATTTAATTAATGCGTCTGATCTTCTTCCTGGTCTCTCTCTTTCATCGTGGCTAGAGAAAATGATTTTTGCGAAAGAGAAATTATAATAATATTGGTCAATTAACTTATCGAACACTTTGTTTTTTTCCGATTCTTCTATTTTTTTATTGAATACACATAGCTTAAATACTTAGTTTTTTTATATCCTCAAAAAGCGGGGTAATAATGATTGGCCGAAGTAACTGCCGAAGACCGAAACAGCCTAAGAATACGATTGGTCTTTACGAAAAATTTAGTATACCAATGAATGGGAGTCCATATTTTATCAGTGTCTGAATAGTACAAACCTAATATAATATTTTGAAAATGAATTCAGCCAAATAATCGTAATTTACCTTATCAGAAATTAGGCAACTGTACTAAAATTTTATTTCGATTTGAATACAAGAATGGAGATTTTTTCACTAGTTTTTCCTTAAGAGACAAGTCGAGTTGTCCAAAGGCTTTATCATTTTTGTTTGTTAAGCATCATCAATTTTTGTTGAAAACAAAATGATAAATTTAGAGTAATTCCTGACTCATCAAACTGGATATGAATGGATCTTTTTTTAAATGAGAGAATTTGACACAAATAAACGATAATATATTAGTTTAAAATAGATTCATAGAATTATATTTTTTCATAAAAAAAGCGTTTAATGTTCTCGGATGCAGAAATATAAGATGTTTCAATATTTAACATAATCTAACATAACATTCAATCTACAATCTGAAAGAATATTTTATGCAAATTTATTTCAGAAATATTCTTGTTCATCTACTGATTTCTATTCCTGACATTTTAAAATATAATATAAGGACGCCATCTAATTAGATATTGGCGCTTTTAAAGCGCTGGATGTATATATTTAAAATATTCAATCAGCGCATTTGGCTACTTCGGTCTTCGGCGTTCACTTCGGTCGATTAATATTACCCCAAAAAATGTCACAAACGATTTTTCTTTATTGTTCATTCGATATATTCACTTTTCGACATATTAGCTATCGACATTTTTATCTTCTACCAAAGTTGAGATTACCAGCTAATACATATGAAATAATTTCGAAAGTATCGAGGTAAAATTCTTTGAATAGATCATTCTTTCTATTTCTAGAAATTCCTCAGAATAAGTTTTTCTACGTATATACTGAAAGATTATTCTATAGAAACAATATAGTTCTCTCTAATGCTCTTGTTATGTTTAAAATGAGATTCTTTTTGCATGAAACTAGTTCTATATTTTGCTTTGTATTTTTGAGAGTCTATATTTTCTATGAACATATAATAATTATATAACGATTTATTTCTTATATTTTTCCTATGATGATCAAAAAAGATTTTTGCTAGAATCTTTTTCGTTTTCTCTTAAATAGAGCATTTCTTACTTCTAGAAGTGGCAAGAAGTACGCCCCTCGTAAATGACGAGATTAGATAGGGGTTATATGAACCACTGGACGTCCGCTCATAAGTCATAGAACTAATTGACACCCTTGTATATGACGACACATAATCACCCACTGAACAATACGTAATCGTTCCCTGTATCATTTTCTTTCTCTATATCATTTTCTCCCTATACGTATATCTTTTTGTCTCTAGTATATAAACTCGCGTTATATGTGAAATAGACAGCAGTATAAGAAGAGTAATATTAGTGCAGTGGAAAGGCCGTTGAGTCGAGTTCACTGCTAAACAAGTCAAGTTCCAAGAAAATCGTGTGGAATTGTTGTTAATATTATACACGCAGTGGCTAAAATATATAGCTGATACTGATCTACACTTTGTTGTCCATCATCCTATATCAGGATATATGCGCAATTCTATATACAGTAAAGTGCAAAAGTCTTTGCCCTGTATATTGTCCAACATTTTTAAAGCAAATCTCTCGAAATTTCTAGACAGATTTTTCGAGAACATTCTAGTAGGTGAGAAGAGGTATATATATATATATAGCTGCGTATATCGCGATTCATCGTAAGCATTCTTCATCATTTTGGAAAAAATGTCTCAACAACGAAATCTTAGTACAATGAAAACGAAGCGATCAACTATTTTACATTATTGGAATAACAGCCATCGATCTCCTGCAACAATTGCTCGTATAACAAATATCCCAATTAGGACTGTTAAACACAATATTGTCAAGATTAAAAACCAAGGCATAATTGAGGATAGATCACGCAAGATTACAGCAAATGATGACAAAGCACTCGGTCAATGGATTCGGCGAAACAACGAGACAACATCACAAGAACTGGTACAAAAACTACTTCATGATCGAGATCTGAATGTGTCCAAATGGACAGTGCAACGTCAACTCAAACGAATGGGTTACAAAAGTACTTTGCCCCTATGGAACACCAATGTTAACACAGAAGCACAAAGAAGCACGTGTTCAATGGGCAATCCAACATAAAGATGACCATTGAAGTCGAACAATATTCACAGATGAAACCTCTTATTAATTGTTTAGAAACACCATTCGTCGATGGTCAAAAAATCCAAGAGGTGAAGTCAAGGGAATTTCCAAGAATAAACAGAAGATTATAGTATGGGGAGGCTTCAATCATTCATTCGAAACAATTATGAATGGTCCTTTCTATGTTCAAATTCTTCAAGATCATCTTATCCACAATGCCAGGAAGCAAACTTCATTGACGATGGTGATTGCAGCAAGATAATGATCCGAAGCACAG